AAAAAATCATCCTGGATCCCAATGAATTAGAAGTTGTCATTGCCAATACCCGTGCAAAATTAGCAGAATATACTCATCCAGATCCATATATTCCTCCTTTGAGACCAGGTGGTACAAAGTATGAAAGAAACCTTCCTCCACCAAAGGAACCTGTGGTGCCCGGTGATTGGTAAAACACAAGTCAAATCACGAGATAATTGAAAAAGTCGAAGGCTACATCAATTTTGGAGCGATTTCACAGCGCAGACGGAGATATTTTTTTCGGTGAAGTGAGAGAGCTTTTCGGGAATACATAAAATAATCTAAGTCATTCTTAATTCTTACGTTTTTTACTGGTAGATATCAATCTCAAACACCTCCACATGTCTCCAAAGTTCTATTCCTGGTACAACCGGATTCCCCTGAGTTTTCGAGTACCGTGCCGTAAAGACCATAAGAATAGTTGACCTTGGCTATAAACCGAGTGGAAAATAAGTGGCTTCACGTTAAAACTCGTCTGTACACTATAATTCACGTCATCTGCTCGTCTCCTTTAGCCCTTCACTCTGCTCATTCCATTCCATTCATTCTATTTTTTCTTTTGTTCTTTATGAAAATAACAAACTTTTCATATTTCAGTAATGAAATTTGACCATATATAAGGAAATAGCAAAAATACAAACTTAGACGATCTCGATTATCACTAGTATATTTATATTACACTCAATGATCGTATTATCCACGACGAGGGTTTCGAAAGGTATGGTTTTGCATGGAGGCGGGAGCAATTGGAAGATCAGACGCGCGATGGGAAAGGCACATGAGGATTTTTCGTGTGCAGCCTTCCAGCTCATCTCATCTCGTCGCTCCATACAACTCTCAACCAACACAAAATGCCCAGATCCAAGCGCTCTAAACTCGTCACATTAGCTCAAACCGATAAAAAAGGCAAGGAAAATAAAGCTCGTATCTTTGATGAAGTGAGAGAAGCTCTTGACCAATTTAGATACTTGTGGGTCTTGCGGTTGGATGATGTAAGAACTCCTGTTTTGCAAGACATCAGATCCGACTGGGTTGGCTCTAAATTATTGTTGGGTAAAAGAAGAGTTTTAGAAAAGGCCCTTGGTGACAATGCACAGGAGGAATATAAAGACAATCTCCATAGAGTCTCCAAACTTTGTTCTGGTGTCCCAGGGTTGTTGTTCACCAATGAGAGTCCGGATACTGTTTCAGCATATTTTACTGAATATTCAAAAGCAGACTACAGCAGATCCAAATCCAAATCTCCTATTGACTTTACTATTCCAGAGGGCGTCATTTACTCCAGAGGTGGTCAAATTGCAACAGAGGAAGATGTGCCCATGTCCCATTCTTTGGAGGAAACCTTAAGAAACAAATACAAAATCCCTACCAAAATTAAGTCTGGAAAAATCTACCTCAATGAACCATTTGTTGTCTGTCAGAAGGGCGATACCTTGAATGTCACCCAAGCTCTTATTTTGAAACAATTTGGTGTTGCTGCTTCTGAGTTTAAGGTTAAAATGATTGCATATTACGATGTGGAAACAAACAATATGAGTCAAATTTGAAACCTTTTCAGTGAATAAAATACACGTTTTTATAAAGCTCCTGTTTTCCAATTCACACAAATTTAACTCTGAGAGAGCACCATATTATACACGAATGTCATGCTCAGTATTTAGTTTTCATTAAATTGACACTGAACGAAAAAAAGCCTGGCGGACCCGTGTCCAAGATTCTTGAAACTGTAGATATTGTATCTGGGGATCTCGAAGGAACAACCCCGAGTCACCACAAATCTTTTTGAATTTAGCGTCACTTCAATTAAACCTCTTGCAACATGGAAAATGAACAGAGATTCCCCAGTATTCCGCAAGCTTTTGAAACCTTCTGTAGGAAAGTCTAGTAGACCGGCTGCTAACATGTTCAGGTCTGTGTCGAAAAGCGAAGCTACTTTGAAGTTCTCTGCCCCCAGTAGTCCTTCGTCTCGATCTGGTGGCAGCTCAAAGTTTCCTCCATCAGGTGCCCAAGCAATTATTTTGTTTGTCATTGTTTCATCATTCTCAAAGATCTCCGACGCTAGGGATTTTTGCTTGAACCATTCTGTGCCGTCAATCTCTGGATCAGACTCGTAATCAAATGATGTATTTGCGTGCAATTTTTTTTCTTGTGTGGTCAGACGCACACGTGCTTTGGATCTTTTATTCGTCTTACCTTTGTTCTCATTTCTGGATGTTTCAGGAACATGTATGACTTCAACTATTTCTTGCAAAGGCACTTTTTTGATATCACGCATTAATGTGTTATCAGATTCGCTAATGCCTTCACGTGCCCTCGTGTATACTATCCTCTCGTTTCTCCAATATGCCAAAGGTGCAATTTTGGTTCGTTTTGATCTTCGTAGACCTTCTGGTGGGGGCGACGGCAATGTATGGCTCTGGCTATTAATTTCTTTTGATGCCATCTCATAATTAAGCAGGCTTTGGAGGCTGCTGTCGCTAAGATCTTCTTCCATGTTCCTCGTCGTTTGACGCGCGGAGTTTTCATCATTCGACAAACTAATTGAACTACTGACAGATAAAGACTTGTCACTATGTTTCTTAGGGTATGAAGTCGATGCCATTTTCTTGGTGAGGCGCGGGGGCTGTTTTTCCTTTTTTGCTCGGGGAGTGTTTGCGTCTGGGACCGATGGTGAGGCTTCTTCATATGTCACCTCTGTCTGGGGCTCACCTTCGGCCAGACCATCACCTAAAGAGTAAGATATGAAGCCAGAATCATCTTCAATACTGTAGTTTTCATCCGAAATCACGTGTTCAAAACTGGCCTCCTTCCGACGAGAGGAACGTGCGAGATCACTATCTAGAATCGGGATACCTCTCTGATGATCTCTGGGAGACTCGATATTGGGATTGTCCCTAAAATTGCTGCTGAGAGAAATTTGAGGTTCGGCCTCAGAATACTTCAAATGTCTTGACGTATGACTTTCTACCGTGTTGATATGTTTATTGGTCGCTGAACCGCTTTCATCAAGTTTTGCTTCAAATTTCGAAACTGACCAACTCGATTCACTGAAGAACTCATCGATATCTTCCATATTATATTTATCTTTCGGTAAGTTTTCTTTTGGTTTGATTCCCATCTTGCGGGATTGGATTCCTAACTGCATCAAATTCATGATGTATGTTGTGGGAATATCCTTGACTGTTGCGCTTCACAATTCTATGAGTGACGCGCCCCTCAAATGTTTGTTTGATGCGCGACTTTGCATGCATACAATTTAATCATTCTGTTCATCACTTCGATATTAAGAAGGGTGACGCGTTTGAGGGCTATATTTAATGGGTAAATTATACTTATAATTGTATTAAAATGCGCAGAATGTTTAGAAACTCTTTCATTTGAAATACCACTTTTTCCGGAGAAGCCCTTTTATCAAGCTCACAAAATAGGCTCTAGCGAGAGAGAAAAAACCTTTCTGAGTTGGGATATATATTCAATTCTTTTAAAAACCATCAAGAATGCTCTTGAACACTTTGCAGTACTTTGACATGCTGCCGGGATATTGTACCTGTAATCGTGCACAAGAGGAACTTTATTTATTACAAACACATATTGAGAAGGGTGACATCAAAGTGTAGCACCGAAAAAGACGCATGACTTAAAACAGTTTATCCTGAAGACAGTATTTCCCAAATAAAAAATGTTATTCAACTCAATACTTCAGTTGGTATGCGCGTTGTTGCTATGTCGTCTAGCATGTTGATGTATGAACTTCGTACTCTAATCGCTGGTGAGCGCATGTTTTTACTACATGTTCATGCATAATTTATTTCGAAACTGAAAAAACCTTTGACACAACATGGCATACCTTAAATTTTATGAACATAAAAGAGCGCGACAGGGCTTTCGGAGGCTCTACTCTCACAATAAGTGTTCTTTTTTTGAATTTGTGATGCGAGTGGCTAAGTTGGTTTTTGGAATTTTAGTGTTTGGTTCTGTTGCGAGTGCTTGGGAATTCAACAAAAAAACAACATTACTGAAAAATATTCCTTCGTGCGATTTTGATAAAATATATGAATGTGGAAAAAATCCTAAAATTCCCGAAGATTTTGATTTACCGCAAGATGTGGATCCACTAGGCACAGAAATTATCAATTGGCTTAGGAGTGGTCAAGGTGCTTATTTTCTGGAGAAAAATTTAAAGAAGGCACTCGCCACAAATAGAGCTGGATTTTTTGAAATGATGCTCAAGTATCCAACTAAAGCGTCAAAGTTTCATAGGGTTGATATCAAGAGTTTACATGACTTCAAGGATAAAGATATTGCACTCCTCATGAAGAAGAAGCAGAACACTTTTGTGACCAATGACAGACTGATTATAGTATATTATGAAAAGGCCAGTAAATCATGGTACTTACAGGTATATGATCCAGCTGCCGTGTCAAAAAGTCTTGTTATGGGGGAAAAAGTTGCTCTCTCTAAATGCATCAATTCAGTCAATGGGGATTCTGGAACTGTTTCATCACTTTTTCGAGGGAGTTTCCATGTGGACGCTTCTTTGTACACACCGACTGATCTACGCAATCCCGTGAACAAAAAAGTTCTTTTTTCTATAGGTGGCCGAGTTAAGGTTGGAAGCACTGCCAAAATTTCAGGGTCAGTTACGTGTTTCATCGAACCCGGAAATTATGCTCAACCATACATGTATCCGTTCTTTGTTCAGGTACCAGAGGGAAAAAGAGTTAAGATAAAACACGACAATATTGAGGGTATTGCTATTACAGGAGAGTGGGAAATGACTCGGCCTTTCTCAAAGCTTGCACCCGTTTCACCTCTCGTGGAGTGTGAGATTGGGAATTCCTCGCAAGTGTGCGACACGGGTGCGGGAAATGGACTACACATCGGAGAATTGAATAGTATCTTCGCCCTTTTAGACAAAAATGGAAGCTCACAGAACTCACGCTGATTATTCCAATTTTGAGCTTACTCTGAAGGTAGACACTCTTCAGAGTGTGATCGAATCCTACGGGGCGCTATCTTCTCAGACGAGGAATTGGGTCGCTAATTTGGCAAATGCTTCCTCCCTCCTTTGGCATGCCTACCAACTGCTCAATATCCCCATTAACTGGGCAGGATTTTATGTTGTTGACCCAAAGCAAGACGACCAGCTTATTCTTGGTCCATTCCAAGGGAAAGTAGCGTGTCAAATGATCAAATTTGGTAAGGGTGTGTGTGGCACCGCGGCGGCTCGCAAGGAGACCCAGCTAGTTGATGACGTAACAAAGTTTCCTGGTCATATAGCATGCGATGGCGAGACCAAGAGCGAGATTGTTATTCCAATCGTCGTAAATGATAAAACGGTTGGGGTGTTGGACATCGATTGTTTGGTATCTGAGGGCTTTGATATACAAGATGAAGAAATGTTAGAGACTTTGGCGAGGGTCATTGCTTCATCCAGTGACTGGTAACATCTTACGCTTTTCAATCAACTTTATAGATGTCTTATGATATTTTTGGACGAGAAAATGTATAGCATAATTTACTCAAATTATCTAATATTATTTGTATTTAGTATGTGGACAATAAGCTTGAGTTGACAAACTGAGAGAGAATTCACGTGAATATTGGTATTAAAACAAAAAAAAGCTTCTAGCCGGTACGAGCCTCATGTTTCATTGGCTATTTGGTTGATCGTGAAGAGATTAATGTTTCATGTTTTTCTTTGGCTATACTGCCAGTCAGCATCTGACTAGAACGTGTTCAAAACAGAAACACGCCCGGATGTACATATTGGTGTTCGATTTCGATTTTTTCATTTACATGTGCAATTGAAAGGAAATATTATTCCCATGAAAATCTGAGGGCAAATCTTCTTCCAATTGTCCAAGGTCAAATTTGGTGATGAGAACTTCCACAAGAATGAACGTCTCAGAGGGTCCAAGGGTTTCTGATAGAAATCATGAGCATAAAACTTAATGGATTTATACGGCCTTTTCAGAAGGAGAGCACATTTTTTCACGAGTTCATGTAATGAGAAGACTCGAATCTTAATACTCAGTGAAGATTACGCCGACGGCCGCTTCCACATGTACGCGCTCACCTCAAAAGAAGGATCCGTACACCATACACACCCTAAAATTCTCGGCTCTTGGACTTCTCCAGCGATTCTATTAAAGCTCAAGATTAAAAAATGGTATTAGCCGATTTGGGATCAAGATTGCGCGATGCGCTTGGCTCCGTAGAATCCGCATCTGAGACTGAGATCCAGTCTATGATCAAGGATCTTTGCTCTGCATTGCTAGAAAGCGATGTAAATGTTCGATTGGTGGCGAAGTTGCGTGATAATATCAGGGCTAAAATTGCCACGGAATTTAAGAGCGAAGCTGAATCTGCTTCAAACAAGCGAAAGAAGTTACAGAAGATTGTTTTTGACGAATTATGCGGTCTAGTCGATTCTCACGAGGAACCGCCTAAGCCTAAAAAGTTGAGTCAACCTCATAAATCTGTCGGCAAAGGCGGAAGAAGAACAAAAAAGAGTGATGCAAATTCTCACATCATAATGTTTGTTGGATTACAAGGCGCTGGAAAGACAACTTCATGCACAAAGTTGGCAGTATACTACAAAAAAAGAGGATTTAAGGTGGGACTAGTGTGCGCGGACACTTTCAGAGCCGGTGCGTTTGATCAATTAAAACAAAATGCAATTAAATCGTCCATTCCATTCTATGGATCATACTTGGAGACTGATCCCGTCAAAGTTGCGTTTGATGGTGTGAAAAAGTTTCGCGAGGAAAAGTTTGATATTATCGTGGTTGACACGTCTGGACGTCACAAGCAAGAGCAATCTTTGTTCAATGAAATGGTTCAGATCAGTGAAGCTGTGAAACCTACTCAAACCATTATGGTAATGGATGCATCTATTGGTCAAGCAGCTGAAGGCCAGGCTAAAGCTTTCAAGGAAAGTTCGAATTTTGGTTCCATCATATTAACAAAAATGGATGGACACGCTAAAGGTGGTGGTGCTATATCAGCAGTTGCAACAACAAAAACCCCAATAGTTTTCATTGGTACAGGTGAGCATGTTGGAGATTTTGAGGTATTCAAACCATCAACATTCATATCAAAATTGTTGGGAATCGGTGATATACAGTCGTTGATTGAACATGTTCTGCTGTTAAATCTTCAAGATGACGAAATGCACCAGAAAACTATTGAGAATTTCAAAGAGGGAAAATTCACGTTGAGAGATTTTCAGACTCAAATGAACAACTTTTTGAAAATGGGACCATTGACAAACATCGCCTCCATGATACCAGGAATGTCTAACATTATGAACCAAGTTGGCGAGGAAGAAACGAGCAAGAAAATTAAGAACATGATCTTTATTATGGATTCTATGACTGCCAAGGAATTGGACAGTGACGGAAGGGTGTTCACCAATGAACCAGAGAGAATTTTAAGGGTTGCGAGGGGCTCTGGGTGCGCTGCAGTTGAAGTAGAAATGGTATTACAGCAGCAAAGAATGATGGCATCTATGGCAGGAGCTGCTAAAAATATGGGCTCTTCCGGGCAGTCTGCGGGACTTGGGGGTGGGGGTGGTACTGCTAATATGCAACGGATGATGCAACAGGCCCAATCAAACCCAAACTTCATGCAGCAAGCAATGAGTATGTTTGGAGGCGGAGGCGGAGCTGGAAATGATGTGCAATCCATGATGGGTAATCCACAAATGATGCAGCAAGCGCAACAGATGATGAGGCAAAATCCTAACTTGATGCAGCAGGCCCAACAAATGATGCAAAACCCCGGAATGATGCAAAAGATGATGCAACAATTTGGCGGAATGGGAGGGATCTAAAACAAGTATGTATTCAGTTCATTAGCCTAGATTTGGATATCGATTTTATTCGCTTCTTATCATTACTTCATATCCTGTTATCTAATTGAAAGGAAGCAATAAGATTAAGATCATGTTCCGCAAAGCTGTAGTACCCGGTATGCAGTGCTATCTCCGAGTATTATGATCGGGCCACTTGGTGCGGAATACGTGGATTGTCCGGTCAACAGTCGGAGTATCATAATAACTAACCAGCTATTTAAGCAACTAAATTCACCATTATAGAATTAGCTGCACATTTGACCCTAGATTACTGCTCATCTGATCTGGCTTGTTTGCGAGCTGGCATCTTGCTTACCTATAAATAAGTTGTTTACCCCACCGTGTTTTTAATCTAACAAGACATACACGATGACTAGTCCCTCTAAGAGTACCAAGGATTGGGAAAAAATATCCGACGAAATGTTTGAAAGGACTGAGAATGCCAACAAAGGGGTGAATAATGCCGATGTGGATTGGTTTCTTCGAGATTCAAATGTTTCACTTGCAGATACGCCAGCGTTGTCTTTGTCCAATATTGGGGCGAATGCTACCGATGGCAAAGAATTGAAACCACAGATAGGATCTCTGATTCATACATCCTCATCACCTTTACTCCCAGTTCTGAATGCGCATGAAACAAATATGAACAAGGCTAAGGCATCAGTGTCTTCAATTCTGGAGGAAGAGGCTCATACCAATACCATCCAAGACTATTCTATAGAAGCTGGATCACCAAGGCATAACAATAGAAAGAATAGCGTGTCGAGTATTGGGAGCGCCTCGAGTATTGATAGCTCATCAAGCGCTGGTGGCTTCTTTTCAAAGTTGAAAAATAGGCTTCAAAGAAGCGACTCTCTTGGCTCTACCCAGTCATTTGTGGATACTGCGAGTCTGTATCATCACAAAAAGCACTCTCATCCATTGATACTGTCAATGCCCGAATCGATGCCCAATAACTGTGTAAGTGATTCTTCTGCCGTTGAATTCCGAGCGCCGGTATCAAATCCTGATTCTGAAATCGATGACCCACATCTACAAGAGTACATCCAGTTCTTTCGCCAAGATCATAAAAGAAATTCATGTTTGAAACATCAGTTGACATATAAGAATACTCAACAGCTGAAACATCCTGACCATCACTGTGATACACCGCACCAGCCCTCGAAGTTTTCCTCATTTTTTCGAAAGATGAGTGTTTCATCCCACCCACAAAAACGTGAAGAGCCAATACCGTCTGGTGATTCTTCGCTTGAATCCGTGACCAGCTCCGATACACATTGCGGTTCAGAGGAATTTTTGCCCGAATTGAGTAATTTGAAACCTCTTAGACACGTTGCATTCCACTCGCAAACCTTTCTCATTGACCCTCCTCAGCAGATTCCCTCTAGGAATCCTAGAAAAGGTAATGTAGAGATATTACCCTCAGGAGTTGTACGAATAAATCCTCTCACAGAAGCAGACAAGGTGGCCATAGAAAAATCCCTTAAAGGGCAGGGTGGCGGCCTAGTTGTGGGGGGGACAGGAGTTTTAGGACTTGCCGAAAAGGATTCAGAGACTATTGAAATAGACAGCCACGAGTTCTCATCGAATGAAACCTCGAACAATGAAGAAAAAGATGTGAAAGTCGACGAGCACGCCAGATCTTTAGGGATCGAAAAACCAATGATGCATCTGTCAAGAAAGACAGGTTATACTGTGCCTGTGAAGAAGATGCCATTAGACTTGATGTACACACGCTGTTGTCATTTACGAGAAATATTAGCAGTTCCTGCAATTTTGAAGCAAATTCCACAAGGTTCGACTGCCCCCTTACCTATATTGCAGCTTAGAAATCCAAACCCTACAATGATAGAGATTCAGACATTTGCCGACTTCATACGAATTGCTCCTATAATATGGATATCTTTGGATGGCGTGAGTCTCTCGATCGAGCAATTCAGTATACTTTTGAGCGCAATGTGCGCCAAAACACAGTTGGAAAAGTTGAGTTTGCGGAATACACCAATAGACACGAAAGGGTGGATACTTCTTTGCTGGTTCTTGTCACGAAATAGAGTGATAAACAAATTAGATATCACTCAGTGTCCACCTTTGTCTCTAAATTTGTTAAAAAAGAAGAAAAAGCCCAACTTGGATAGAAATTCTTTTGCGAGAATGATATGCAATCGTGAAAATAGGTCTGACATGGATTGGCCTTTGTTTACTGCTGCTCTCATAGCAAGAGGGGGAATTGAGGAATTGATTTTGACTGGTTGTTGCATAACTGATCTTTCAGTGTTCAAATCACTCATTTCGAAGGCAGTGACAATAAGAACGTTCAAACTTGGATTGGCATACAATCAAATTTCTCCACAACAATTAGATTGTGTTCTTAAATACTGGGTTTTTTCCGACAATTGCAGGGGTTTAGATCTTGGATACAATGATCTCCTGTCTTCACGATATCTCAAGATCTTCTTGAACCATGGAAGGGTCGAAGGTGCTCGAACTATGGTTTCCAAATCACAAATTTGGTTTTTGAGTTTGAACGCGACAAATTTAAGATTTGACAAGACTTTCCAAGATTTTTTTGAAAATTTTATTGTTCAACTACCTAAGCTCAGGTACTTGGATATGTCGAATAACCCAAAATTGTTTGGAACGCATCTAATATCATTTCAACATACATCTATGATTTCTGGCAGTCAGATCTTTCATCAAACGAAAGCAGGTGCTCAGAAAGCAAACAACCTTGACAACGATAGTCTTCAGCAGAAACACACTGAATCGAAGAATAAGAAAATCTTTCCTCATTGCGACTCTACCATGAGGGAAGACGCTACTGGATCAGAATTCTCCTCCGAAAGTATAAACACCTTTTTTTGTTCCAAACTTCCACGTTTCAATAATTTGGCACGGCTTCACTTGGAAAACAATGAAATATCATCACAAAATTTGAAATCCCTTTTCGAAATAATTCCATTTTGCAAGAGCCTAAATTATCTTTCAATTATTGGAAACCATCTAGATATATATTCCGCAACATCACTTTTGCAATGCTTGCGTTATTCAACATCTTTAATCACCGTGGATGCAGATTACCTGGATTTGCCAGAAATATTGAAAGAGAAAGTTGGCCTATACTCGATGCGAAATATGCACCAGATTTTCAACCAAAATATAAACAAAGAGTGTAATTCTGGCACTGGTACAACTGGAAGCAATACTCTCACTACCTCACTTGCCGATGAACTCAATCAACTTCTCTCCAGAAGAACTGAAGAAAAATTGGATTTTGAATCACCTGAGGTTAAAAATGTTGTCAAGAAAATTCAACATCACAGATCAGTATTACAAGACGCATTTGCTGACTTGTTTGACCTACAATATAGAAGAGAGTTGAGTGTGGAAGGAAAAGAGACTTTAATCAAATTGTTATTCGTTGACTCTGCCTTGAAATGGGCTTTAAAATTGGTTGATAGTTCTTTCATCGAGAAGGATGAAAGCCTTAGTTCATCTGATATCATCAACATGAATTCCGCAGAAAACGGAAGAAATGAAACTAAATCTTCAATGTTGTCCAAAGCCCGAGAATCCTTTCTGGTTGAGCAAACAGCATTATCTCCAGTAGACCTGGGTTCACTTCAAGTTTCGAGACAGCAGTCTTTGACAAATTTGGCCAGCCTTAACAAAGAAGAAGGTTCTGCTATGAAACTTCTGCGAATAGGGGATCAGGCTATTTTCCAGGATCTAAATTCTGCCTCTGGGGAGCAAATAAGACAAAAGCTTCTTAGCGCTAACCTTTCTGATCTTGACACTGTCATTGATAATATTTCGAAAGCGCGAGACAAGGGCATAGCGATGAAGGAGATTTTCAATACTAGTATTAACAAGAAATTGGATGCTGAAGCTTCGGACGATACGAAGCAGGTACTTGATAAACCCACTCCGGGTGCAAGTACTAATACCCCAACTGAAAATATGAAATTGTTAAACAATGTGTCATCAGGCAGTGCGGGTGAAGAGCTATCCATAAATGAAACGTATGACGAGATCTTGCGTGAATTCAACAAATAGAATTATACTAATTTACATTTTAAGAAGAGTTTATGCAGTCATGTGTTGGGCTTAGACACTCGTCATCAGAGAGTAATATTCATTCCTTGAGAGCAACCTTCAATGAGTGACATCCTGCCACAACTAGAACTCGTCATCTGAGTACTCACTTGTTTTTTTTGCTGGTGGAGCACCGTCATCATCGCTATATTCATATTGTCCCTTTACACTCTCACCAGCTTCTTCTGCTGACTTTTCAGCCTCATTATCTTCTGCCAAATCCTCACAAGCGTCAATCCAATCTGAGTATATGTCCACTGGGTGAGACAAGGAATTTATTGCCGTTTGAAAACTCTGACCACATATTTTACAATGCAAGTCACCTATCCCATTTCTTTTATCCATCGTACAGATCACAGATTTCTCATGATTGCAAAACAAGCATCTGAAGCTTATGTCAAGCTTTTGTTTCACCTTTTTCACAGGTTTTGCCGCTGTCTTACGTTTACCCATGATCAGCGGTTGTTCCAAAGCACGTCCATCCTTGAAGGCTCGAAAAGGCGTGTTGTGAGTAGTGCGATCTGCAAAAAAAAAGAGGACAATCTAAGCCGTTCAACAATCAAAAGCTATGCCCCAAAACCTTTCAATACACTCTATACAAAGCAATTCATGATTTACACAAAATAATATAAGTGGTAATCTACAGTGAAATACAATGTATTTCGGAGATAAGAATTACAAATGTTCGTATCGGAATTTAGGCGATAGATAAAGTGGTGCATAATATCTCATCTTCTACGCAACTTTTGTATTAAATATCCACAGTGATATCTTACTTTTTGTGCGGATACCCTCAATCAATCAGTGTTATTCAATATTAACTGAGCTTTTCTTTTCAATCTCAATTCTAGTCTTGATTTTTCAAATGCCATATTTGACTTTTTCAAGGTCTCAGCCAGGGGCCGTTCTGTCAGGGTTCCGGATGAAATTTCCTCATTAAGAGTGCTTGGAATGACGACTGTGGATAAGTTTGCATTGACTTTCAAAACTCCTGCATACTTCTTATTGAGTTTTAGACCAAGTTCGTACAACTTTAGATCATTTTCTCTCATCTGAAAAAGCTTTAACGCATCTTCAAATAAATCGTTAATAAAGTTGGGGAATAGGTTCAAGCGCGTTGAAATCGGGTAATGAAGAAGCAATGACAAAGCTTCTGCGAAATCGCACAATGCCAACTCAGCTTTCAAATGTATCAAAAAGACGATTATTGAAAAGCTTATCAACTGGGGAACACATTGTGTTAAACTTGACGCCCCCACAGCGGCAAGTTTATCCCAGAAAGACGATGATATTTCAAGGTCATTTCCGAGTTCTCTAAGAAGAATCAAACGAAAAAACCGGATTATCCAAAGCTGTGTATCGAGCTTGAGTTTGGTGATAAGATTGTAGTGTATGAGTTGGTCAACTTTCATGAGAAAACTATTAAAGCGCTCAATCGATATCATTAACACAGCTTCTGACTCATAAAACTGACTGACAATCCCAGTACCAACAACAAACTTGTTGAACAAGAAGAATGAATCATGTTCCAAGTAATGTAAGTCGAAAAGAGAGAGTACATTCAAATCGTCTACTGAAAGCGTGTTTGTATTTGGGAGTGCTAGTGACTCTTTCAAGATATTCTTATAGATGAGACCGAGTACTTCATGAAGCCCTTGCTTGTAACCAGCCTGGGGATTACACTTCGACCAAATAAACAATATTGATACCACTTGTCTTTTGTGGCGCAAGGATGCATCGTTGTGAGAATGAAAGACCGGGTCCCCCGGAAAAAGCCTCTGTACATCAAGAATTATTGTTTTTAAAAGTTCCGCGTCATCCTGATTGGTTTCGCTAGTTTCTTTCCGTGATATCTTTACTTTGGTGTTCGTCAAAGGATCATCTGTGACATTTCGAAAGCGCAATGATTTTTGTGGCTCAGTTTGTAGATTGTGTATTTTGCTCGAAGGCTTCACCATGAAAAATTCGTTATCTTCGTCAAGACGCCACCACGGAACAATGATATTTGATGATTTGCGAAGTTCATGATAAATTACTCTGCATGTCTTGAGCTTGTCTTTCCATTCTCGTGTATTAAGTGTCTTGGTGATTAAACAGGTTTTCCAGAGTAGCAATCGAGAAAACTCCTTGCTTTTGGAATCATAGTCGCCCAGTAAGATTCCTTGACGAAATTCTGCGAAGTTACCCTTGAATTTACTAACGGAAAGGAGGACCTTTGAAATCACTTCATTTTCTTTCAACATCGTACTAGTTTCTGCTGTTGACCCTTGTATTTGTTTGAAACATTAGCGCTATAAAGCTTATATGAAGGACATTGAAGGATGTTATAAATATTGTATCGTGGTGAATGACTTGACATATTCCACAGTCATGTACGAGAAGCGATTGCATATTGATAGTCTTAACTTCTAGTGTTTGCGAGCAGACAATATTTTTGATGTACTTCGATTCCGTCTTCACGAGCTACCCCCGACACCACCAAGAGACATCTGTAATTTGAAACCGTCTCTCACTCCATAAGTGTTCGAGAAGTCAGCTCTTCTTGATACATAATATCCCACATCAAGTTCCACCAGCTGCTTGACATACTTCATCCCAAACCCCAAGCTAAATACCCCGCTTTCCTTGAGAATACTATTACTGACGTTACCTGCCATTCCGGTGACATATATTCTCATGGGATTGTTTCTTGGATTGAGGCCAGGATGCAAAATATTAGGCATATGTCCAAACACAGTAACACCAGCCTTGTAATATTGCGTCCCCCCATGTTCATTCACTCCGTTACGTGAAAAGCCACGAAAGCTATGAAAACCCCCCAAATAAAACTTGTCCGATACATGAAACAGTTTTGAAGGGTGTGCTGAAAAAATTGCTCCCATTTCTTTAAAAAAATGTGTCGTGAACATGTTGTTGCTCGAAGACTTGAACCAGTCAAAAGAGCATGTAGTTTTCATAAAACCAATTTGAATATCTCTCAGGCTTTCCCGTGCTTGATCTGAGGAAATCTGATTGTTCATGGAAAATTTAAAACCTTCGCTCAAAAATCCGTTTGACACAACTGTATTGTCATACGAAATTTTACTGATCATAGATGATTTGTAATTTTCACCGATAAAGGACAGGAGAGAATCATTTTTTTGATCACTAAAATCATCAATTGATCTCTTGATTAAAGAAAAGCCATTAAACACAGATATACCTTTTTTCCGGTTAAGAAACAGAATTCCGATAAGACCTCCAGTGGCTTTGCTCGAGTTTTGCTGCCATATTTGATTGTTCTGGTGTGAATTGTGAAGATCAAGGATGAACTTATAGGCAGGGTTCCTCAACTTCGTCTCGAGCTTCAATATTGATTCAAGACGCTCACTGGGCTTGTATGGCTGATAATTCACACCAATGTTTACTTGTTCTGCGTTATGATTAAAATTGTTGTTGATATATCCCAAATCAACCGTCAAAAAGTCTTCATTATTGAAACCAAGAGCGAGGTTACCCTCGCTCAATTCCTTTGTCTCGAGGTCGTAGACAACCTTAGTCACGATGGGTTTATCTTTATTATAGGATTTCATTTCCGGAAAAGAATGTGTATAGTCCACATGTAATGAAGGCTTAATCTTTTCAAAGATTTCTGCTTTCTCCAAAAAGTCAGAACTTTGGTTGACCTTTGACACCAACTGATCAAGGGTATAATCACTCTTCTCAATCAATGGACTCAAGAGTTTAGAAAAAAATTGTCTCAGTATATTGTGACCTCCATTAATCTCCACCAGTGTAAGAAACACTGGGTGAGAGTCGGAGCTCTCTAAAGCCTGCTGTTTAAAAACTTCAGACTGAAATTGTTTAGCTGACGAAGACATTGCTGAAACACCCAATTGAAAGAGTCCGTTGAGTGTGCGTAAAATTTGTTGGAACTGGGTTCGGTGTGCGGCACATGGCGCGGAAAGGGGACTGCAAATCGAATGGTCATATTTTAGATGAAGGAATACAAAAGATCAAGGAGAAACAAATATCTTTTCTTGGTGGGGAGCCCAACAGCTCATTTGGCAGATTTTACTTGAAATAGACTTATAGGTTAGCTCCAGTTTTGTTAGGATGTACATAGAAGTCATTATGTTCACATTCAACGAAGTAACAAGGAAGTAGGGCTATGATACTCCCGTGGTTGGAGAAAGCGAGATTTTGTACCATAACTTGCTGAATTAGTCAGTTTTGAGTCATTCGAAAATCAGCGTTTACGTCCATTTATTGAAATAACATCATCAAAAGACCACTAAACAAAGATTTCTTGTATAGAGAACACAACCAATGGAATTTTGCTTATTCCCATTTTGAAATCGCTCACCCGTACTATATAGCTTTAAGTTTAGATATTACATTCGTTTCCAAAAGCTCCCATTCTAAGGGAGCTCTTCAACTGACAATGACTACTGTCACCGAAATGATTAAATTCTAAGCCTTTTCTTATATCTTACAAAATATCAAATCTTTGTTGAGAAATAGAGCGATATAAAATTTCGTTTTTTAACGTCTTAGAAGTGATCTACTATATCACAATTGATGCAGATTTTGTTCGCAGTGAAATTTTGTTTACTTAAAATTATGATTTGTGAGCGGAATACAAGATATTCCTTCCAAAATTCAAGCTTCCAGCAAGCAATCAACCACAGCCCCATCAAAGGCCAAATCTAAGAGTTTCCAAGTGCATTTGACATTGTTTTGCTCGAAAATATCAATGACTGTGTTAGCAATTCCTTCAAAATTATCTGTTGCCAAGCATAGAATGGTAGGTCCAGCTCCCGACAAGCAAATTCCACATAAACCATTCGTAGTTTCAGCTGTCACATTCTTCAAGACAGAGTCAAGTCCAGGAATAAGTTGAGCCCGATATGGCTGGTGAATCTTGTCTTTCATTGCTTCGTAAATCATTCCATGATTGGGGGGGTCCAAAGTCAAAGCTGTGGTTAAAACTGCTAATCTTTGCAAGTTAAACACAATGTCTTTCTTTTCGTAGGACAAAGGAAGAACTGCTCTGGAGTCATCCGTTTTGACTTCAAATTCTGGAATTATAGTAACGCAACGTATCTTATCGTTCCACTGGTATTTCAAGTACAGCCCAATCGCGATTGGAGGCGGATTGTTTTCGTAGCTCGCCCTTGGCGTATGTATTTTGGGTAGAATGTTTTCAAGTGGAACTGATATAGCTGCCTGGTTCTCCGAAGATAACTCATTGAGATATGAACCAACAAACCCGCCCAACATAGCTGCCGCAATATTGTCAGGATGTCTTTCAATGAGTAGACAATAGTCAAGCAAACGTTCTTTGGAAAAATTAAATCCTCCAACTTCATTCCCCAACATCACGCCACCTACAATGGCCGCACCAGATGACCCTAATCCACGACCCAACGGGATTGGATTTTTCACAAAGATCTGGGTTCCCGGAGGGAAGTTTTCGATTCCATTACAGCGCATCACGTACAACGCAGTTTGCGTCACAAGGTTTCTTTCACTTTGAAGGGGCACATTGGCGGCACTGTCACCCTCGTACGCTAGCTTGGCGTTGTGCGTGTCGACTGAAGTATCTATTGCCGAGTCAACTCGGACATGGATCTCCAAATATAAATTCAACCCAATTCCTAAAACATCAAAGCCTGGACCTATATTAGCACTAGAGGCAGGTACTTTTATCGTGAAATCCCGCATTTTTGTACTTTGTAACTTAATACGCGAGCCTTCGATGGTGTAGGACGTGAACGCCAATAAAATTTAGAAAATGAGTCAACAGCGATGTGAACTATACACAGTCTAAAAGTACTGAAAATGCGAAACAGCGATAGGTACCGAACGAAACGTGAAATAAAATTATGATCTGCTGTGATTCTTAAAGGACGTGAGAAAATATCATCAATTAAATTATGCAGGTTTCTCTTTTCTCCCAAGCTATTTCAGCAGGTTCCATGGGTAATGTAACCATGGACTGGTAGTCAACAGGGGGAAGTGAAGAGCCCTTTTCGTATTTCCATTTGATGTTGTAAATGTAAGAGGCTAAAATCGTCCCCAATTGTACATAGGCGAACTGTTCACCAATACACCTATGTCTCCCACCTCCGAAAGGCAAATATGGTGAGGCCACACCTTTAGAAACTTTTCCAAATCCGTAGTCCACTCCATCATCTTGCGTAGTCGTCTTTTCCATTTCAGCCCACCTGTGAGGGTTGAATTCTTGGGCATTAGGAAACCATTCTTCAGACACGTGAGAATATCCAGGGGAGACCAAAACATAGTGGCCCTTGGGCACCACAAATTTGGTATTAGGAACGAGGAGATTATTTTTCACTTTTCTGAAAATAGAATGCAACGGCATATGCATACGCAAAGTTTCTTTGATGGTGTTATTGAGAAGTGGCATCTCTTGTAAATCTTCGTAAGACAAGTCCAAAAATTTTCCGCCTCTAGTCTTGAGTGCCGATAAAACTTCATTATACAACTCTTCCTGCAACTCAGGTTTCTCAGCCAAATGCAAAAGAAACCAAGCTGATGTGGCTGCACTGGTATGTTGACCACCCATCAAGACACCAATCAACAAATTAGCGATTTCCTGATCAGTCATCTTGACGCCATCTTTGTAAGTGGAAGTAAGCATAAGTGAATCAATTAAATCTCTGTTCGACACGATGTCTCCTGCTTTTCTACGATCGTTGATCAAAGACATGTAAGTGCTAGAAATTTTCTGTTGTGCGGAATCCCTGGCCCAGTATGAGGGCAATGGCAAATGAGGAAATACGAAATTGATTGGCGTAAACCCTTTATCCAAATCAGAGTATAGCTTAGCAAAGGAGGTATCGAACCGAGCTCTCATGTCATCTCCCATTAGAGATTTAGAGGCAGTCAAAATGGTCATTTCGGGTTGAGTCTTCATGACATTAGCAACTCCATTATTACGCTCGGTCATTGAGTAATCACTGCATGTCTTGAAGTAATCCAATACCTCTTCTTGGATTCTGGGCACGTATTTCTGAAAAGCATCCTTAGTCAAAGCAGTCTTGACGAATTTTTTTTGTTCCATTAACCGATTATTGGGACAGTCATAGATCACTCCCTTACCAAATACAGGGGTGGTTAAATGAGAGTATGCTTCTTCGGCTGAAACATCTGATAGTTTCGAGTTCAAAACAAATTCGTGCCCTTTAGGTCCCAAGTATACCGTCATAACTTTGCCTAACAAGACGAAAGCGAAAACATCTCCATACTTTTCCCTACAGTTCTCGAAAAACTCATAAGGTTGCATTCCATATGCAACAGCAGAACCAAGCCATGGCACGGTATGATAAACAAGGGGCACTCGGTCTTTTCTAAGGGAATACAAAAGTTGCCAAATCACATTATAGACAATTGGGCCTAACACGATGATTCCTATTTTTAAATAAAGGTTTAGGCCTGAAAACGCCTCATAGGCGTATAATGCATATTCCTCGATGGCCATATCAGTACTTTAATTCTAACTATCTAAGGTTGGAGGCGAACGGCGGGCTATGTCCATTTAAGTAGAAAAATCAGAGATGGCTATACGAGGTGCACGGGTTCTAGGATAAGTTCAATCGCGATGCAAAAAATGGTGCGGTTCTGCTTCGCGTCCATTTGTATAGTTTACAATATACACGTGACGATGATGAACACGAGCGAACCATAAACGCCCGATTTGTTGCGTGATCGTGCATACAGATGAAACTTTAAGTCAAACCATCATGCGATTAACTGGTCTCAAAAATATTTGGGAAAACCTCACGAGAATGATATAAACGTGCACTGGAGACTTCGTGTATTTTACGCCCACATTGGCACTACATGATATGAATCCTGATGGTGCTATGGACTATTTTTGTGAATTATCTAACTAATCTTTTATTCGACGCATCATTACACGAAAAAGGGGCCATCTATTAATATTGAAAGGTTTCGCGATTCTTTGTTTTCACTTGTTTTCCAAGAATGCGCCAGATGCCCGCCCTGTGTATTACCTTTTGGAGGTTTACTGCTTCATAAGACTAAAAAGCAACAATGACGTTGGGATCTCGATCATTCGTCGTCTCAGAACCCAACTTCCTACTCTTGTGGCTAACCTTCTTTCTCTATGTAGTCTGAGTTTTCGTCGTATCGTAGCCCGAGCATTCTTGCCCTCGTGAGTATTTGCTCGTATTCCATTGTTAAGCTCTTGTTTTTTCCCTCGAGAAATTTGATGTACTCGACTGTTTTAGCTAAAATTGTCCCCTTGTTTAGCTTCGTGGCAGGTTGTAAACCCTCTAGGCTGGTGGAACTATCACTCAGGTCCGATACTTCCTCCAGTTCGCTTCCTTTGATTCCTTCATCAACTTTCAGTTTATCCTTTTTTTCAACAGCTGCACGAAGTGTAGGAACAGAATGTTGAAGGGCTGTAAACTTATCGTTAATTTTGTTTCTGTATCTTTGCTCTATGACATTGTGCGACGACTTCAACTTGACTTTGTTCGCCGGTGCTTCTGAGGCATGCCCCAATGAATCTATGGTAGTTCGGGGATCTTCACAATCAGGCATGTTTGTGTGCTCTGTATTGGCAACCTCTATTCTTCGCTTTTCGAAAGAACCTTTGATTTTATTTTGCTGTGTAGAAGTTGAGGAGGTTGAGAAGGATGTTGACTCTTTATTTGCTGATCCGGTATAAAGTGCCAGAGAGGAAAGCAGTCCGTCTCTGATATTCTGTTGTGAATTAAAGTCACTGCTTAAATCTAACACCTCTTCTTGAAAATTGTTTAGTTTTGGTGGAAGACCCGCATTAACCTTACTGAAAAGCCCAAGTGGTAAATTTTGGTACTTGGTCATTTCAAGCTCTGAATTCTCAGGATTAAGATTCGGAGGTGTGTTGCTATTCGTCTGGAATGTGATATATGACGACACTCTTGGATGAAAGCTCTTAGTGCTGTTTTTCAATTGACCACGTGCAATTTCAGATGAATCAAAATGGTTCACGCTCTGGTTTGATTGAACCATTAAGGGAAGGATATGGTTGCTCGAAAATGAAAAAAATACAGCTCTTTAAGTTCTTCAAATAACAACTTTTACCCAGTATCTTTGCTGTCTCAAGAAAGAATTGAAAATTGTTTAGCACGAACCGGAGATTGATTTGGAAGGTTAGCAGCGGTAAGAGCAATTTCTGATTGAGACAACAAGTTGTGTGGTTTTATTGTCCTTTTCTCTTTATGAAGGATTTGAGAAAAGAATTAGTGCTCGAATTACTTTGGTGGAGATCAGTCTTTGATGTTGCCGAAAGGGCGCCCTCGGACATGGTGGATCAACCTTAACATAATCTGGAGTGTCCAAATCTCTTGAGAGCACGAGTATTCTGCAATCTCTCCCATCGGATTAATAAAATGTTGAAATTTTGATTCACCATTTACCAAGTTGGCCTTCCTTTTATCTTGTTTGGTAAACTAATGCAATATTTAGAAGAAATAATAAAATATTGTCAAAAAATCATCCAAAACAACGTTCTTTTGTCATAAATGCTTCGAAAAATCCTAAATCTTTCTGATCTTTCTCATAAACTTTCTTCCCACATTCATAGTAAATTTTAAGCCTTTGCTAATGAACAACAGAAATTATAGGGCCTTCTTTTGTCTCATGAAGCAGTACACTTGAATATCGTTTCGCGAAACGGTATATTATACAGTATGGCCGCATTGCAACTCATCTCAGTGTTGAGCTGCGGAACGGGTTCTATTCTTCAACAACCTTACACGATTAGTAAAATGTCTGATCTTCATGACTTATGTCGATTCGCTAAACGACCAATCCAAGAGGATTATCTTGAAAATCTAAAATATTACTTGAAAGCCGGAATTCCAGCAACGTATACTATTGAGGAGGCATTCAACTACATGAATAATATTGAGGGTGTAGAGCCATCAACCACTACAACCCCGTTGCATTTAATATTTACTCATTTGCCTTTGGACTACACTGAACTGGAGCTTTCTATTGTTAAAGACATGGTAACAATATTGTTGGAATATGGAGCCGGTTGGTGCTTGACAGATGTGAACGATGAAACACCTGGATGCATACTACTCAAACGCAATCTTGGGGAAACTATTCTCTATAACCAAATAATAGATGCTGGGGTCCGTGCAGAACTTCTTTTGCGAAAAGTTTCTGAATTTGATGTGGAAATAATTGAAGACACTGAAGAATTGGATCACGAGGCGTTTGCGAATACTACATCTACAGAATGCGACGAGGAGACAGAGAAAGCCGCTGAAATATGTACCATTCTGTCAAATGTTGCTGAAGCTGAAAAATTGCCTGCTTCTTTTGAGACTAAAAATTCAGAATCATGCGATCCTTCGCATAATCAGGATGCTTATCTCAAATCTGAACTCCAGTACATCGATGGCGCCCTTGTCACCAAAGGTCAACAAGATGGAGTGATGATGGAATGGGAGCGTGACCTTATGCAATTGGGATGTGATTCTTTATTCAAAGGATCACGGACCGAGTCGGACCAGGTCGACCCAGAAGTGAATATTTTGAACATTGGGTTTGGTATGGGAATTATCGATGAAATGATCTCTGAGAAGTCTCCAACCAAGCATTATATTTGCGAAGCTCACCCTGACGTTCTCCAAAAACTTAAGGAAGAGGGTTGGTACGATAAGCCTAATGTGGTCATTCTTGAAGGCCGTTGGCAAGAGCAATTAGACAAACTTTTGAGCTCAGGTGAAGTGTACTTCAATGGTATATACTATGATACCTTCTCTGAACACTATCAAGATATGTTGGAACTTTTTGATTATGTGGTGGGATTATTAAAGCCATATGGAGTATTTTCCTTTTTCAATGGTTTGGGTGCAGATCGTCAGGTGATTTATGATGTTTACAAAAAGCTTGTTGAAATAGATTTGGAGACCTACGGATTGGCTTGCAGCTTTCAAGAAGTAAGTGTCCCTGAGAAAACCATGAAGAAAGGCGATGAAACAAGTGTCTGGGACGGGATTCGTAAGGCTTACTGGCTGTGTCCAACATTTTACCACCCCGAGGCTCGTTTCATCAATGCTTGATTTTGTTTCTGAACGAAAGACAATGCAAAGTAAGGTGTAATGATTGTTCACCGCCTGAGATTCACTTTCAATATACTCAACAATCTATGATTTAACCGCGTATGATCTTATTTTTTATTTGTATTTGATACGCAGCAATATTTTGCGTTCATAGATAGCTAAAAATGAAATTTCGGCGAATGATCTCTCTTTTCTATGTCAGAATTGGAGGCGTTGTCTTCATAGAGCTTTGATGAGCGAAAGTTCGAGACCGCACAAATTTCTGTAGGAATGAGACGCTGCGGCATTTTTCAACCAAGAACTTCTTACTTGGTAACATTGCCTCAGCACCATGCTCTCAAAAAACTCTCTCATATTGCAGAGAAGACTTTCCTCAAGAGTTTCTCCAATAGAAATATCTACTCTAAGCAATGGCTTGCGTATTGTCACAGATTCCAACCCGGGCCATTTTAGCGCACTTGGAGCATATGTGAACACTGGAAGCAGACATGAGACAAATAAATGTAGTGGTATCTCTCATATGCTCGACGTCATGGCTTGGAAGTCTACCAATCGAAGGTCTGGTGTGCAGATGATGGAGGACTTGGCGAAATTGGGTGGAAACTATATGTGTGGCGCTCAGAGAGAACTGATCATATACCAGTCGTCTGTATTCAACAAAGATACAGAAAAAATGTTCGAGTGTATCGCTGAAACCATTAAAGAGCCCAAGCTATCTGAGGCCGAATTTGAAGAAGCCAAACTTACTGGCGCTTACGAGCTAGAGGAGTTATCCCACAAACATGATATGCTTTTACCGGAAGTCTTACACGAGGCTGCATATTCCAAACAAAGCTTGGGAATGCCTATTCATGGCACAATCGAATCGTTGAATAGGCTTTCTGTTGGCGATGTGAGACAGTTTCATGAAACATATTACTCTCCGAAGAATGTTGTATTGGCTATGGTCGGGGTTGATCATTTGCAGGCAGTAAAAATGGCAGAAAACTACTTGGGCGGTTGGCAAGAGGTAGCCAGAGCCAATGATGTCACCAAACCACTAGCACAGTATCAAGGAGGAGAAATCAGCCTTCCATACCAAGAACCTCGATTCTCTAATCTCCCCAAGCTTGTTCATATGCAAATAGCCTTCGAAACAGAAGGCCTCTTGAGCCATGATTTGTATGCTTTAGCAACTTTGCAAAAGCTTCTTGGAGGTGGCCTGTCATTTTCAGCTGGTGGGCCCGGAAAAGGAATGTTTCTGAGGTTATTCAAAGTATTGAATCAATACCCGTTTGTGGAGAATTGCATGGCCTTTAATCATGCTCATAGCGATTCTGGACTTTTTGGTATAACTATATCTTGCTATGCAGAGCATGCAGAATATATGGCACAAGTGGCGTGTCACGAGTTTGCGAAAGTAATGGAGTCAAACTCCTCAAGAGATAGTATTTCCCATCACGAGTTCAAGCGTGCAAAAAACCAACTCATCTCATCTCTTTTGATGAATGTTGAAAGTAAATTGGCCGCCCTAGAGGACATTGGAAGGCAAGTACAATGCCAAGGAAAAGTTACTAGCGTTGATGAGATGGTGCAGAAAATACAGGCTTTGGATATCGCAGACGTTCAAGCTGTGGCTCAAAAGGTGTTTGGAGGGAATGGAAATGGTTCCAGATCTGGAAGACCCTCTGTGGTCATGCAAGGAGAAAGATCGTCTATTGGAGATGTTGAGTTTGTTTTGAAGCACTTTGGATTAGGGCGTTAGGATACACCAGAACCATGAAGATAATTCAAAATGTAGATTATATATGATCTACAGAACAAGTTTTATCTGAACGTTTGATACTGCTATACATGACCATTATATCAATTCCTATGAAAATGCTCTTTGTTCAGAGTCAGTCCTAAGTTCGACCATTTTATCTAAGACTGTCACCAAGTTCTCGATATCTTTGATCACCCGCAACTCACTTCCTGTTAAATCATCTTGTGATTTCCTTCGCAATTCAATTTGTTCAAAGAGGCCACATAGTTCAAAATTCATAGCATTATAATCAATTGTGCTCAAGCTACAAAGAGCAGTTACGAACATTCTGAGCGTTTCCTTTAGTCTTAAGTTGAGTTCTAGGTACGATTTATCCATCGAGAAAACGACTGTTGAAGTGGTTGAATTCTGACACTAGGATATACGCAGACAAGTTTGTAGTTTTGAATTTGACGGGCTCAAAAAAGTCTTCTGGTAGTCAAGACAATAGGTATTCAAAGAGTCAATGTACCCCAGCGATCGGATGAGTCAGTAGATACAAATGATGGTGCAGTTAAAATTGAACCAATGTTAGGGACTGTGCGCGGTTGGCTGGTATGTGTATGAGAGTTGCTTCAAGTTTAGATAAAGTGCGCGCAAGATTCATAACAAGCTTAAAATCACAGGTCACCGAGACTCAGTCATCCCATTCAATATGGTTTTACAAAAATTGAAAAGCAAAATTACGAGAGGCGATAATGCTGAAACATATCAGGCCTCAGAAGGTGTTGAGGAGATAAACACAGAGAATCAGTCTATACTTTTGGGAATAATTGCTCAATTGCGTCCGGGGTGTGACTTGTCAAGAATTACTCTCCCAACTTTTATTTTGGAGAAGAAGTCTATGCTAGAAAGAATCACCAATGCATTTATGACTCCTGAGATTTTGATTGAGGCAAATGCCACTGAAGATGAGGTTGATAGGTTTTTGAAGATCGTTAAGTGGTATTTATCTGGATGGCACATAGCGCCCAAAGCCGTGAAGAAACCATTGAATCCTGTTCTTGGAGAAGTATTCAGTTGTTACTGGAACAAATTACCACATGACTGTAGCGCATATTATGTTGCAGAGCAAACCTCACATCATCCTCCAGAATCTTCTTATTTTTACTTAATACCTGAACAGAGGATTCGGGCAGATGGTGTTCTTATCCCAAAGTCGAAGTTTCTTGGTAATTCTTCTGCAGCAATGATGGAGGGAGTAGCTTGCCTTAAACTTGGCTTACATGGCGGTGAGTCTTACACTGTAACACAACCAAACATATATTGCCGTGGAATTTTGTTCGGAAAACTCAGATACGAGCTAGGTGATCATATGTTGGTCAAATGCGAAGACACAGGTTTGGAGGCTGATATTGAATTTAAGACAAAAGGTTTTTTGAGCGGCGAATACGACACAATCGAAGGCACAGTTCAACGCGGTGGGAAAGTCTTATACTTGATCTCTGGGAAGTGGAATGGGCTAATGGAGATTCAAGAAATCGCGACAGGAGAGAAAAAGACATTTTATGATACTTCAAATTCTTCGGTCATACATGCACATGTGAAGCAGCTTGAAAAGCAAGATCTAAACGAGTCACAGAGATTATGGCATGACACAATATCTGCTCTAGAAAAGGGAGATCATGAGACCGCCACCAATAAGAAGTTTGATGTAGAAGACAAGCAGAGAGAAGAGGCGAAAGAAAGACGTGAGAAAGGGGAGGAATTTGTTCCCAAACTTTTCAAAAGCACCGCAGACGGCGAAATTCCCTACTCAATCAACGCAGAGATAGATATCCTTGAAGACAGTCCAGAAACAATGTTGGCCAAACTTTTTGCTGTTCACCAGATACACTGAACATTCTTTGCATGATTCTTTTGTGTCTTAACTCGCAGTCCTCCGTTGGTTCTAATCTATTGTATTTGTTTTCGAGAAACCTGGACATTTCCAAGTCTTTGGTGAGAGTGCGTTCAGAGAGACTTTTTACCATATGTAGTGTAAAACTAACCAACCAGACTCAAATGGGTGGCAGAAATGTAGGGGGATTAGATACATCTACCAGGAGGTTGTACCCTTTTTCTAAGATTTGCGCAAGCTACAACTGATTTTTCCCCAACATATTTGCATTTTGTAATCTCTCTACCCTGCATGAACAAGCGCAATTCCTAGGTACTGTACATAAAAACGAAAGCTTTGAGACACGGAGCTCAGCGGTTCGTGGCTTGGTAGTTCGTATCCAAAATGGAAAAGGACGGAACGTCAATACTCGAGTCAATACGATCACCAGGATTCGAATTAACGTCATGCGTGGATTATTTGCGTCGTTTTCCTACCGATATTGGAATTCAGCACATTTTGGTGAAGAAGCTTCGGACATACAAGTACGAGGATGTCGAGTTTTTGATTCCACAGTTGCTCCAGATATTGGTGTCTTTTGAGACTAACTCGATGGCACTAGAGGAGTTTGTACTTGATTATTGTGAAATTTATCCTCATTTCAGCCTAGTTGTCTTTTGGAACTTACAAGCGCTTGTGTTTGAACTAAAAGACAGTCCAAATTCATATTCCTTTCAGATCGTGAGAAATATCGTGAACAAGCTACAAAATGTCTTATTCAATCCTCTCATGCGGGTAACCGCAGAATTTTACGAAAATTTGCAACCAGCTCTTATTCTTTGTGGTGCAATTGCTGCTTCATTAGGATCTCCTAGGATTCATGAATATATCAAGCCATTGATTTTAGCGCAAGCGAAACAGCGAAAATCTTTTGTCTTTAAATTGGCAAATTTCCAAAAATCCTTGACAAAGAATTTGACTCTCAAAAACCAAAAGTCAGTCAATGAAATTATATCGACGCATTCAGATGAAGAGGATTCACGCATGAATACAAAAGTGTCTGGAACTCATACACGCCACTCAGAATCTTTCGCGTCAGACAAAAGAACTTCTACCCAACTGATGACTTCTGAAGATTCTGGGGTCAACACAAGTGATGAAGAGGAGCAGGAATCTATTCGAATCAAGAAGAGGACAAACTTGAAAAAACTGAGAACTTCCGAAAGCATTTTGTTATTGCAAGATATGGAAACAAAGTTTGATGTCGGTAATATCTTAAAAAAGTCAAAGCGCCCCTCAGTCCAACAGCATATATCGCATTCGATGCCAAATTTGAATGACCCCGAAACCTCAAATAAAATTTTGGGATCATCGGAGCCTAATTTGATTATCTCACGTCGTACGGACATAATTTCTCAATCAAAAAGCTTGACTCTTGGAGAAAAAGCTGATCCAGGGAGGCTATTAAGGATCAATTATTCCAAGAATGTGACCGAGTTTATTCTCGCATTACAAAATATATCTTTGAGATTATCTCAATTACCCAAGGAGACGCGCTTGTCTGCTTTACGCGCAGAGTTATCCATCATAAATGACACTTTGCTCCCTTCGGAGATTGATATACCCCAATTACTTCCTATCACAAGCTCCCGAAATAAGTTTCATAAATTATTGAAGCTTAGTGTGAATGAGGCGTGTGTTTTGAATTCGGCCGAAAGGGTTCCTTTCTTAATGTTTGTTGAATTTTTAAGTGATGAACTAGACTTTAATCCCTCATCTCTTCCAAACCAAACTATCTTGAAAGCTTTGAAAAGAAAAGGCAAAAAGACTTCAAATCATTTGCCAGATGAAGTAGGAGTTCAAGAGACTGAAATTGTTTCAGAAGGTTTGATGCAAGTTGAGGCAGATTTAAGTGATCTAAAAATCTCTTCGGCACAATCATCTAGCTACGATCTTTCATCACTAGGAGGAAGCTCTAATATTAGCTTTCTCAACAGAGAACCAGAGAAAAATTTGAGTCAACTAGACACTCAAACTAAGAAAAGAGCAGATCAAATGCGGATTGCTTCGCTCATGTTACAGCAATTAGAAAGTTCTGGACAGGCAACTTCAGAGCAATCAATTTCCATAAAACAAAGAATCGTGAAATCTATGATCGCATTACAGGATCAATTTGAAGGTATTGATTACGACACATGCAACGAACTAAAGGGAGATGACCCAAATGCGGGCGAAAGGAAATTGGAAAATGACTTCAAACTTGCAGAGGATTGGAAAGCAAAGAAGTCAAGGATTCGTAAATCGAGCCCCTATGGACATCTCCACAACTGGGATTTGTGTTCTATCATAGCAAAAAATGGTTCCGATTTACCTCAGGAAGCTTTTGCATGCCAGCTTATTGCAGTAATTTCTAACATATGGAATCGGCGAGGACTTCTGACTTGGACAAAACGTATGAAAATTTTGATCACGAGTGCAAATACGGGCTTGGTGGAAACAATCACCAATGCTATTTCAATTCATTCCATCAAGAAATCCTTGACAGAAATTTCTATTGCAGAGGGACAAAATACCCGCAGAAGAATCTTTACATTAAAGGATTACTTCATAAAATTGTTTGGCGGCCCTTCCACAGTATCATACAGAAGAGCGCAGGAAAATTTTGCGAAAAGTCTCGCCTCATACTCGATAATTTGCTACGTTCTCCAAATTAAGGACCGTCACAATGGCAATATCATGCTTGATAATGAAGGGCACATTATCCACATCGACTTTGGCTTTCTACTTTCCAATTCACCTGGAAGTGTTGGTTTTGAAGCTGCCCCCTTCAAGCTCACGATGGAGTATGTGGACTTACTAGATGGTGTTGATAGTGCTTTATTTGCAGACTTCAGAAAAATTTGCAAAGATTGTTTTTTGGCACTTCGTGAAGAAAGCGAACTGATTATTAACATGGTTGAGATTATGCAAAAAGAGTCCTCTCTACCATGTTTTAACAGTGGTGAAAATACAAGTGTGTTACTCAAACAAAGGCTACAACTTCATTTAGATGTGACTGCAGCAACTGATTTTGTTGATAATTCCTTGATAGGTAAAAGTTTGGGAAATATGTATACGCGATTGTATGATCAATTTCAATTGATCACGCAGGGAATTTATAATTGAGGCTGCTCTTATGTACACATCTCGCAGTGACACACGGAAGAGCCAAAATAGGATAAAAAATTGAGTTGATTTCAAGCGCCTGTTCTTATGTATTGAGCTCATCTTTGAATCTATTGAGATTTTCATGAGAACCATAGTGATGGAAAAGAGCCCATTTTGTGACCCTAATCTTGCTTCACAGAAAGCAACTTATTCAGTGCTGCAATCAAGAGCGTTACCTCAAATTCCCATACCATCTTCCAGTCTTCAAGATCTTCTTTGCAAATATCTGTTCAATGAGGTCGACACGAATAAGAAATTAAGCAGAATAAAACAGGGGACACGATACAATGATACCAAAAAGCGGAGAATAAATGGCTTCATCGCTTTTAGGTCCTTTTATTCAAAAACTATAAAAGGTACATCTCATCAAAAGGAATTATCTTCGAAATTAGCCGCAATATGGAAGACCGAGCCGAACCACCAGACCTGGAATTCTTACGCTTTACAGTACAATGCAACTGGCGGAAATGAATCATTTGTCAGTTGGTTGAATCGTAAATTAGGGTTTGACACTAATATCGAAGCCAAAAAGACTTTCAAGTCATATAAAAATCTGACATTGAAGAATGTGGAAGATGTTTTTTTCGAGGATATAAATTACGATTTAAATGGCCAAACTTCTAACTAGGGATTGAAGAAACTGAAGCTATGCTTTTTGGCCTTTTGAGTTGCTCGCTTTTATTATCCTTCTTGCGCTTTTTAGATCCCTTTTCTGGTCGGGACTCAGCATCCGTATACACATCATTAGGAAGATCATGCAATTTCACATTCTTGATTTGAATAAAGTTGATTTGATCGTTGTAATTTTGCCAGCTCTTGCACAAATTGTAGAATTCAGAACAGGGATACTGGATGTCAAGTTTTCTTATTCCACCTTTTTCCGTCTTTGAGAGAGTTATATCAAGTCCGATAAAAAGCTTGGTTAAATGAAGTACTTGTATGTCTGGAGAGTCTTTCTGCAGCATAACTTCTTCTGAGGTGTCCGACTTTTTGAGTGAATTTATGTAGGGTTCACCTTGAAGTGTTCCATACGAGTTGATGACATTTTCAACATCTTGTGCCTTTACGTGGAAGGAGTTCTTGAAATCTTTGACATAGGGGTGCGCAATACCAATTCCCTCAGTTACCTCTAGTTTCTGAATCAAAACTCTGATCTTGCTTTCGATCATTCCACTCCATTTAAGATGATCTTCGTCACTTGAATATGTCGCGGCCACAACACAAAGGTAAAATCGGTATTCATGAAAAAAAGTATGCCTTTGAAGTAAGTCTCCCCAGACCTTCTCACCCGAAGTGATTGATCCCATCAAGTCTGCTCCTCGTTGAATTTCTTTCATGATAATTTTTTGTGTAGAATTTGTGATGTTATGAGTGGCACACATAGACGGATAAGCAGGAGTGATAACAGGCATCCGGTGTTGCCTGTCGTGTGGGTACAATCTGGGATTCCAAATACGGACCTGAAGAGGCCCGTCCTCAATGGGCTTAAGTAGAACTGGCTGTGGCCAATTCCACTTGGTATAAATTGCAAAAAACTTTTCAATTATTGTTGCGCTCACTGCATTAGGGTATAGCTGACAAATTCGAGCAACTAACATAGCCCATGCAACGCCTCCTGGAAATCCGAAGACATTGGCATACACGGCTCTTTGCTGCGCCCACATCTTTATGCATCTTAAAGCGTGCTTGAACACCGTTGGTTTTGGTACAAGTTGTAATATTTCGTCTGTGACTCTTGTACCGTTAAGACTTCTCATATCCTTCTCATCAATATTCTTGAGTAAGTTTTTATCGTCAAGAGTCATATCAACCGGGACTCGTGGAACGTTCAATTTCGCAAATATCAAATCAATTGAAATTCCTGCAAATTCCATTTTAATAATTGGCACAAATGCATCAGGTACAGACGTTATCTCTTCCAATTCAGGTCTCTTCCTTAAAATACCTTCAAATACTTCAAAAAAGTCTTCGCGCGTGACGTGTTTGGGTACCACCACAAGCGTATCTATATCAGATCCAGGACCATATACTCCTAAACGATAAGAACCAAATGTGAAGATTTTTCCACCTGAGTCTTTTGCCATCCCATCACTCATATTTTTTCTTTTTGAAACGGTGTATACAAAATCTTGAACGAGCTTTTGAAGAACAGAAAGAACTTCTACTCGTTTTCTTGTGGCCTGCTCACTTTCAAAGGAACCCTTTGATTTGAGTTCTGCAATCAAGAGATCATTTAAATGTAATTCGTTCACTGAAGGATTTGATAAGGACACGGGGCCAGTGACGCCGTACGTTCTTGTAGCCATTCCACGAGTTGTCTGGTTTTAACACCAGACTCCATTGCGACAATTTGTTCATCTAAAGATGTACCCATATGCAGAATCTCACTCGCAATTAGTTTTGAAAGTTTGAAGCTTGGCAGACCAGCGGCGAATAAGTCTGATCGGTAAGCCTCTTTCACGAGCTACTTGAATAAATTCCTTGAGCTCACCCACATTTTCAGCCCTGTCTGCCAAGTCAAAAACTAAATTTCCCAAGAGCCCCATAGTCGTGGGACTGAGTTTCGTGTTTACACCCAGTTTCGTTTTCTTTTCCTGGAATTCCTTAAACAACAGAAGTCTGTTGTGCTTTGTCATTTGCGACTTTAAAATCCCTTTTTCTATGCCCTCCATGACAGCGCGGTTCAAGAACGAGAGCTCATTTTTGGAAACATCGAGAAAATCTAACGACATATTCGGTTTGTACATTGTCACATACTCAAAGGTCAAAGTCTGCGTCACTGTGGAGTCGAACTGAAGAGATTTGAGCACTGCTCTCATTTTTGAAACTCCTTCGCCGGTTTCGTTTGATTGAAATATGAATTTCATAGTGTACTTTATCAAATGGCTTAGGATATAGTCTTTTCCAAAGTTGTCATGAAATAATAGAAAGTCACTTCCTTCATGCAAATACACCCACAAATGATTGAGTATCTGTGCAATTTGTGAGGCATTACATAGAGAGAGAGCTTGCCCCATTGCTTGCAATCTGACTCTCAATCTTCTTCTTTCAAAGATAGTAGCTCGTCTGAATTGCTCACGAAACTCGGCTTCTGTAGCGCATTCGTCAAAGCTTCTGGACCTCCTTAAAAGCTTTTTCACGTTCCAGGCTCGCAGTAGAGTCTTTTGAAATAACTCGCCTGTGTTGGAATTATCGAGCAAGTTGCTTCTGAGTCCGTACCTCCAAATTTCAGTGAGGTTATATTCCGAGAATTTATGTTTCATGAGAATCTCAATATTATTTTTGTGTGGGCCAAGGTTTCTGAGGGTTTGGCGAGTTGATGAACGACCTTTAGTACTTGATAATTCAAGCAACATGAATAGCACACGGTAATCTTTTTTATCAAGAATGACTCTTTCGACCAAACATACAAATTTCTCATACTGCCGACGACTCATGGTTTTCAAAATTTGATGCCCTTCCGGTAATTTGAGAAGAGTCGAAATTATCTCACTGAAGGTATCAATAGTAAGAGCTCTATAATGCATTTTGACAAGCGATATGAAAATACTCTCGGAAATAAGATGAGTTTGCATGACGAAGTAATTCACCATGAAATCATTCGGGATGAAGGCTTTTCGATAACTATGGCAAAATGTTAGAAATAACTGGTAGTGTTTTTCTGGACTTGCCATTTTCACAAGATAATACAAATCTTGCTCGTTGCATAATGCGGCTCTTTGAGTTGCAAAGAATTCTATTAGTCGATTGCTCTTAGTTTTGAGTATTAGCAGTGACACAAATCCCGGAATTTTGTGCAAGCGATCATCCTCATGACACATGTCCATGACGAGTTGCAGCGTTAATTCCCCATCCGAGCAGTCTTGGGCATACTTACTTATAAAGAAAGCTTTGAGATCCACATGCTCTTGAAATTTGTCATTGTGAATCTTTATCTTGTGAGGATGTTCTTCAAGTAACTGCTCAGTAGGTATCGTGATTGTAGTATGGAATAAATCCAATTTATCTAGCGGTATGCCAAATTTATATCCGAACATTTCACGTATTGAAGAATATATGCTGTTGTTTGATGCTGCTTTATGGGCTGCGCTTAGAGCAAGCCATATCCCGATTTTATCGTTTCTGTTTGCAAGGAGACATGAATAAATTAACTCGGTTATTTCTTCGAGATCTGATAAAGTTGCGTCCCCAGAAAGAACAAGGGTCCAAACTGCATCCCAAGCATTGTGGTATATAAGTGCTTTTAGAAAATTCTGCTTGTCCAAAGGTAGAACTTTGGGCAATGATGTGAAGAAGCGGAATAGAATTTGCCAAGGCACAGCTAAAGGATGATGCGATAACAATACAGTGAAACGATTATAATCATCCATTTGATCAAAAAGTTCATTTTGGATGGTTTTGTGTAATTCTGATACATCCATCAGCGCAGACAAGGTATCTTCTTTCATTCTTAGAGCCTCGGAAAGAAATTTAGATTCATTGTTGAAGAACTGGTAAACAAGATTCGGAAGACCGGGCAATTTTGAGCTCGAGTACCGGCGTGAAATAAACTTGCCTCCCAAATTCGTTATAGCATGAAGAGCCAGAAGATTCATATTGGTTGTGAAGGCCCGATGACTTGTGAAATTAGATGAATAAATATTGGATGCTTGAGGCTCATGTGGTGTTTGTTTGCTTTCAATTCTGCGGCAAAAAATATTAGCGGACTTTGGTTTGCTTGATGATATTACATTACTTGAATGATTTGAGAGACAATGCTGGGGGAAATGCTTTATCTGACTAGAATCTATTTTCGAAGACTCTGAACAGTGCCTGATGAAGAAGGTTTGTCGCCGGGGTAGATTGGGTTGGCACAGAAAGAGTTCTGTCTTTGTATATCCATTAATGAGCTTTATCATAATTCAAATATTATTGAGTCAAATCGAGGCCCATGGCATGAGTTTTTCAGTAAGCGTGGGAGATCAAAGCATTGAATGGAAAGCCCGGCACATGAACTGATGCCTGCTAAAGCGCGAAATGCGAAAAAGAGTTTCGTTCGAGGACAAGCTTCAAAAGTGTCATGGCCCCAAAAGAATTAAAGACATTCCGAATACAGGTTTCTTCCTAAAAATCTTATCGAACTTGAAATTGGATCTTTGATAAAAAGAAAACACCCTTGGTAATTGTATTCGCTATTGCAACTAAAATATGCTTTCTCTGATGGATATTGAAACTCGGCATCTATTCTTCCTTTCTAGCCCTGAAAGTTTCGCTCCACCGTAATATCAAAATATAAAAGATGTCAATTTCTAGTGCAATCATCCTTGAGTTGTCATTTATTCGTGTTGCATTCTCGAGAGCCTCTAATTTTAGACGCAATTATACAATGCGACCCCATCTTCTTTAAATACAGTGCGCGAGCCTCACTATTCAAAC